TCCACCACCTTCCCTTCATCCACTAGGTGGGTGACTTTATCATAGAAGGATATCAAATTAGTTGAAAAGGACTTTCCCTTTGTGAACCCATGTTGACTGTGTCTGATGATTGCGTTATTCTTTAAATGCCTTTCAATAGTACCCAGTATGATCTTCTCCATAATTTTTCCAGGAACTGAGGTTAGACTAACAGGTCTGTAGTTCCCTGCATCTTCCCTCATGCCCTTTTTGTAGATTGGAATAACATTGACTGTCTTCCAGTCAGCAGGGACCTCCCCAGACTCCCAAGATCTTTGGTAGGTGATTGAGAGGCGTCCTGCCATAACATCCGCCTCTTCCTCTTAACTTATGTGCTGCTGAAGATGGGTTTGAGTCATTCTAGTTAGGACAACCTTGACTCCTTGTGCTTTGTATTCCCTGTTAGCTAGGCACGCCGAAAGATTCATAGGCAGGCAAGAAGAAATATGGACACCAGGGTAGGTGGACTGACTGGCAGCTACAAAGCTAGGTCAGATTCACTCCAGTCTCGAGCCAGGCCTGCAGTCAGATGAGCTTTGCCATGCACAGCATGTCACTGGAGGCAATGGGCCCCATCAGGGATCAAGGAGGTCTTCACCTTGTCCATAGATGTAAGTGTCACCAAGAGGATGGGACCAGAGGGTGATAGCTGAGCGGGACTCCTAGGGTCAGCGGCTTCCCCAGGCAGCAGAGCTCTTGCTGCACACCTGCTCCCACAGTGCGAAAGCAATAGTGATTTCTGAACGGATGCATTAGTGGGGAGAAGAGAAGGGTTTGCTGAGTAATAACCACATGGTTATTACTTTCTAAGCTTGTCCATAGTCCCCATGGTAATGACCTCCTTGGGGGTCAGACTGCTCCAGCAGACCTTAATTTTATGGTACATTTTACTAATTATTAACCTCCTTATTCTTCTGAGCCAGATTCTTCCATTCCAAACCACCTGCCAAATGACAGCATGGTCCACGCGGCTCTGAGCTGTGTGCTCCCATGCCGAGACTGTTGTTATTCTACACCACACCCTTCTGTAATGTCAGAATTCATTTCACGCTTTTCAGCTACCATTTTGATACACAGGAGCCCAATGAATTAGGCTTTCGTAAAATGAATGAATGGGTATTAGTTTTGTAATAAGTTGCAAAGAACAGAGAGAAGTATTGGATCAACGATAAAAGTAGAAATCACCTTCTGACAGGTATCTTTCTGAGAAGGAGAGATATTTTATCAAGTTGTAGCTGTGTTGCCTCAACTACTCCAAAAATGACACTGTTATTCCCGTGTTGTTCCCATGAAGGTTTCTTCATATCAAACTTGCCAGAGTGATAACGTAAGCAGAGTAGGGCTTTGGATGTTGTTTCATTCTGTTAGCTGTCCTACGTTTGTCTTCATTATGGATATGTGATTAGCATCCTCTTAAAAAATATATTCACCTCAATTTTAATATATGTTAATTTTCTTTCTTATGTCCCTAGGCAGGGCAGTGAAATCCTGCTAGAGAATGATGGTTAGACAGTTACTAAGATATAACCTAACAGATTTCAGGGTTAAGAGCTATCTAGTAAGAGTCAGTTAATTATCCCACGTGACATTATTAGTGACGTAATGGCAACCTTTATAATTAATATCTGCCAGAGACAGAGCGAAGATATTGTTGTTCTGAAAATGAGCTCTGACTGCCCAAAGACTGACTGCTACATTCTGAAAACAAAAGGGCTCACTAGTTATTCAGGAGAAAATGACCATATGAGGGAAGGAGGAAAAAAAGAAATCCATAATTACCTTTTTCTGCCTGTATAGCAGACCCAACTGGGAGAGTTAACAAACGAGAATTTTTAATGCTGGATGAAAAGGAGAGAAATGGGATAAGGAAAGCTTTTGGTGGTCAGAAACATAAATAACAAATCTCTGAAGTTCCCAAAGGTGTTGTATGTGAGAAAATGAAAGGCCTTTGATGAGATGTTGACGTTAAAAGGGATCTCTGAGGCCTCTGCACTCAGGCATCTTGCTAAAGAGGCAGCGTGCCCGGGCCCGGTGGACAGGGAGCAGCTGGCATCCCTCGGCAGCGATCTCCCGGAGGCAGCCTGGGGGTGCTGGCAGGGCCAGGGACGGCGGCCGGGGGGCCTGCATGGCGCTGGCTGGCCATCCTGCGCGGTGCTGGCAGCTGCAGCCTCTGCAGCCCGGTGTGGACAGAGGGTTGGTGTTTTTACCAGCGAATGTACGGACTTAATACAAGCTGAAATTTTAAAAATCAGGCAGAATGTGCAGGGTGGCTTACTTATTTTTAGAAGATTATTTTTTTAAAAACATTTTTCTGCTCCTGTGAGAGAGATTCCCTGACTGTGCAACATAAAGCTGGGAATAAATTCAGCTTTATGCAAAAAGCGTTATCAGATGCACAGAATAATTACACATAAAATTGCCACTTTAATTGACACAAGTCAGCTGGGGGAGGGAGCAAACTCTTCTTCGCAGTCTGTGGCGAGATTCTAGACAGAAAAGCGACCTTGCAAGACGATAGTATCATTTTAATTGAGACAGACAGAGGTGTTAGGCAAACACATGTTAATTGCCACAATTGAAATTCAGGGCTCAGTCTGACAAAGCTCTGAGTACGTCCACTCCCTGGAGTCAAAAGGAAGCACCTTGGAGGTTTGGGCCTTTGCCAGAACAAGAGGGTTACTTTTGAGTCAACAATTCAGGTTTCCAGACTGTTCCAGACTGTGCCGGAGCGGCGGCAGCAACGTGAGCAGCAGCACCGGCTCCTGCCGTGCGCGAGCAATGGGACCCGTGGGTCAGGCTCCTGAGCCCTGAGCCCGGTCCAGAGCCCCACGGCCTGGGCACCACAGAGAGGCAGGAAAGCAATCCAAAAGCTGGCTATTCCCAGGCAGCTGAATGTTAAGTCTGATGCTAGTTCGTGACAGGGATGTGGGCAGGTGTTTCATCCGCCCAGGGGTCGGAGAACAGACTACGTGGGGCTGCCCCCAGCACGTGTCTTTTCTGTAATGGCATAGGCCAGTTGCTCTCAGGAGCAGGATCGATACTCTCCTGCACCTGAAAAAGCATAAATACATATTTTTCCATAGTTTTGTAGCAGCGGGACTGGACGTGGTGTGCCTTTGCTGTCAAAGCCAGGCTGCTGAAAAAAAGGAGTATAGCATCCACTGGGGTCAAATGGAAACGCCTGAGAAGGGGAATATCCCTTCTCTACACAGTGCAGAGATGCTAAAATGCAAGTTCAAGTTCAGGTACCTAAATCTTTTCTTTTGCCCCCAGCTGAGGGGCACCAAGGCCTGCTGGCTGTGCACAAGCCCAGCCTGCAGTTTCCCAGCTCCACTCAGGTGCAAAGAGCATTACAGCTCCCGTCTCCAGAGGTGGTAAAGCGTGAGACAGAGATGGAGGAGCCTGTGAAATAGAAATGTCCTAAAATTTTGGAGGCAATTTAAAAAGAAAAGAAAGAAAAAGAGAGACAGAAATAAGGCCCCTACAGTCTTCTGCTTTGATTAAAACAGTTGCTGAGAGAAACTTGACATTTCAGGTTTGAAATAGGTGGTGGCAGAGAAAGTACCTAAGTGAAATGTTTTTAATAACTGTAAGGGGAAAAATATTTTCCCTACTAATATTGAGAGGATCGTTTCAAAAAAATCTCCCCTTTGACCACGGCAAGGATCTGCCAGCAGCTAATTTCAGTGGCATCTGGCGCAGCCTTTCAACTTGCTCCTGTTGCAGACCTCGCCGGGGAGCAGGACAAGCATGCGAGATTTCCCCTTCCCCTTTCAGCATCCCCCTCCGTAACTTTCCCCCCTCACCACCCCCTGCCAAACCTTTTCTTCCCTGCCAGGTTTCGCCGGCGGCGCAGCAGATGCAGCCCACGCAGACGATACAGCCGCCCCCCGGCAGGAGCCCCCCGCCACAGCCGACCGGAGGTCGCCGGAGGAGGGTGGTGGACGAAGACCCGGATGAGAGGAGACGGAAATTTCTGGAAAGGAACCGAGCCGCCGCCACGCGCTGCAGACAGAAGAGGAAGGTCTGGGTGATGTCACTGGAAAAAAAAGCAGAAGAGCTCACCCAGACAAACATGCAGCTTCAGGTGCGAGCCACTGTCTGCGCCCTCGAGGACACAGAGGGGCTCTTTGTGCTCGGAGGGGCTGGCGGTGCTGGCAGGCCCTCGCCGCCTTTGGGGCTGCCCCCGCACAGCCGGCTCCTAGTGGGAGCACAGGCGTAATCAAAGTCAATTAATCAAGATGTGTGTGCTTCAATTAAAGAAATAATTGCATTTTAGTGGGATAAGCCAGGAAAAAGCTGTCTTGGGATTTAGAAGCCTTCGCTAGACAGGGTTTTATTTATTTTCTTTTCTTGTCACCACTTTTTGTGGGGATTATTTTTTTGGGAGTGCCATGAACTCAGCTGTAAAAGACTTCTTCAGAGCAGGGCATGTAGCTAAACCGTCATTCAGTGCCAGTGAGATAGGAGTGTAAATAGATCAGTCTACCAATAAGGAAAGGAATGAAGTGGATGGATGAAAATACCCTGAATTAATATAATAAAAGCCCTTCTTATGGTGGTGTCCTTCTTATGGTGGGCACAGTACTTCTGCCCCATCCAGAGGTGTTCCTGTGTGCTGCCAAGAGCAGAAAGACCATTCGCGTAATGGCACTCCCCCGAAACACAGAGCTGTGAGCAGCACCCAGGTACGGGCCGTAGCGGAGCCATAGGTGACATGCTGTAGGTGACAGCAGCCCTGCCACCGTGCTGCCATTTCCCCCCACAGCTCTGGCCCCCTGTCCTGATGCAAGGAGCCAGAGTATTTCCCGAGCAGATTAAGACACTGCCTAAAGTATCTCTGGTGCTGTGAAGGGTTAGTTGGCTTGTCAGTTTATGTCATCAAATCTGGAAGCCAAATTGCCTTCAGAAGAAGTTATAAAATAATGTCATGGACAAATGTTAATATAAACCCAGCACATGAGCACCGAGTGCCATTTTTGCTCAGTTCTTCTAAAGTTGTGGAGCAGTGTCTGTGTTCTTGGGTTTAAACTTTGCAGGAGAGCCTGGTTTAAGCTTTGTGGCAAACCAAACCCTCTCTTTCTTTTCTAGAACGAGGTTTCCATGCTGAAAAATGAGGTAGCACAGCTGAAACAGTTATTGTTAACACATAAAGACTGTCCGATAACAGCTATGCAGAAAGAATCGCAAGGATATCTAAGTAAGTAGCTGGTATGTTTGCACTGTCTCCACACTCCTCACAGGAAAGCAAAGTTTCTAATTCTTCCCTCCAGAACCCCTTCTTGGTCATATTCTCACTTGAACCTGTCTTCTCAAACGTCATCCGAGCCATCCAGTCTCCCGCCCTTATTTATCCAGCCCCGCTCAAAACCAAAAAAGCCCTGGTTTGCATCCCACACAGCAGAGCTAGCCTTCCCCACCCCTCCCTTCGGCAAGGAGATGCACAAGGATGGACGCTCACTCCCCTGTGGAGGATCCCGCTTGAACTCGCAGCTCCAAACCTGCAAGAGTCCTCCTGGGCGCAGCACTGCCAACACCTTAAAATAACTCTCAAAAGGAAAGTTAAAATGGAAAACATTACAGTCCCCTTCAGCGAAAATGGTACTGTGCTCTGACAGTGGCGCAGACCAGGCGTGGCGCAGGTTTTCAAGGTTTGTTAACTCTTTTTTAACTCTTATCTTTCATTTTTTTCAAATCTCATCTAATGGAGACATTGAATTGATTCTGTCTAGTTGATGCATTTTACGAGTGTGGTAATTTAGGGACAAATTCTTTGCTTGGCTCTAGAAGGGCTCAGAAGAGCCTTGGGGTTAATACTTGCTAAATTGCGGCATTGTCTTAAAATAGAGCTCATTTCTGTCTCCTCTGCATCACTATGCATCTGGCTCTTTAACAGTACTCAAAGAAAAAAATACATAATTGCATTACATGCCTATCAACTGTTGCTTGAATTAGATTTTCTGTGCTGCAGTGCACTGCACTCTAATTTTGATTCCTGCT